TGATAATAATAAATTTATTAAAAATCAGTGTAAAAATTACTATTGGGTAATACAGACAGGTCAACACAATTATTTAAGTTAACTGCACTCTGAATCTGATGTTATCATGTGACATTTGTTGGATTTTATGCCTATTTTTAGATATGATCCTAGGATCTCCACCTACTGTTGGAAAATCCAGCTTGTGGTATTCTGGTCCCTTGATTTCCCCCACTGTCCTGTTCATGAATAATGCATAATTTCTCCATAGACTCATTCTGTATTTTTTGTTAGTGCAAAAGAGCATGATTCTCATTTTCTGAAGTAGATGCACTATAAAGAAAGCTGCATTGGAACATTTTGTGTAAAGTGAATCTTTATCATTCAGTTATTCACATGAAAATTAACTTGCATTCCCAAAGGCAGTAGAAGTGCTAATCTGGACAACAAGGTTAAGTATTTTCAGTGTCATATCTGTTAGGACTAGATTCGGTGACATAAAAAAAGAAACCTCAAACATGCCCAAAACACATGTTATTCCTCATGTATAGCAAAGTCTGGCGCTAGGCAATCCAGGGTGGGGCTGGTAGCTCCACAGTCCTCACGGGGTGAGATTGCTTCTTTACAGCTGCCCTGCCATACTCAGCACTTGCCTTGATTCCAGTGTCACCTCATAGAACTCCTGACATCATGTCCATGTTTCCAGGCAGCAGGAAGAAATATTGAGCAAAGGGACAAGGAGGGGGTGCTCACCTACCAAGATGAGTCACCTTCCTTTGGGGAGCCTTCATGGAGGCCCTCCATACAACCAATTTAAATCACTGAGGTCTAAGTAAAACTTCTGCTCATATCTCATTGGCTTATTCTTAGTCCTGTGTGGTCCTCAGTCACAGGGAGACAGGGAATGACTTCTAGCTGGATTTATTGACACCTCAAATAAAACTGATGTTCTGCTCCTTAGGAAGGAGAGACTAGAATATGAGTTCAATGATTCTTTCACTACCTTTATCACAATATGCTTAAGATTACATTCCAACCCCAAATATATTTGTATCAGATTGAGAACTTGATCAAAACTTGGATGTTTCCAGTGTTATCTTTGTCTCCTGACATTTTTCAGACAATAGGAATTTTTTTCTGGGGTGCAGAATGATTTCATCAGCCCTACACTGTAAGTATAATTAGGCATATACACATGCCATATTCCACCCTGAAAATGTCTTAAGCCTCTGTGTTCATAAACAGCAAAACAAGTCATATTCTACTTTATGTTTGGTAAGTTCAAAATTCTGAGTCAACACTGAAAACTCTATATTTAACACTAAAATGACTATATTTATTGTGACTTGGTTACCTGTGTTCCCCAAAATATTTTATTTCAATAAAAAGAGGTTTTAGAGTAAAATTATTCTTTTTCTGAAAGATTATATACAGCAATTGGGAAGCTAGGGGGTACACAAAAGGATACAATCAAAATGTTTCCAAAATATTCTTATCAGTAACTTCTCGGGTAACTTTGAAAAACTTCCATTTTCCAAAAAGTTTGAAAAAAGAGAACTGACTCAAAGTACTAAGAGGGATTGCCTCTGATATTTCAGGAGAGCTCTGAGCATCACTTTTCTGGAGTGAAGCTTAGAATGGTAGCACCACTGTGCTTGTTGCAGCAATATACTTACTTATCAAAGATGCTCAGTTTGCGCTCATTCTGTTGCGTCAGTCACTTCCTGCCGCACAGCTCAGCCACCCCCATTCAGGTCGCCCTGACGCACTTACTCAGCAGGAGGCCAACAGGGTGCCTGAGAGATCCACAGTTTGCCATACCCAGCACAAAACGTCACGGCTTTCACCTCTTGAACTTGCCTGCTGATGTCCGTGTGGTTCCTCTCAGTCCTCTTAGCAGTCAACAGATCGGATGGGGGGGTTGGACATGATTAGAATGATATTGCCCTTTAATGTTCCTATTCCTGTATCTTATGGGCGCACGGAGATGTTGGAGAATTGGACAGAGACATCTGCAGTTTTGTCAAAGTTTGTCAGCTCTTAAACTCTGAAGCTTCATAGAGGTGTGAACTATTACTAAAGGTCACGTTTTAGTACCCTGATTAGATCTGCTTAAACTAGCAATTGTGAAATGACTCAAGCTACATAATTTTTACTACTAGATAAAACTCAGCTACATTCTGAATATAAATCCAGTACAACTGTGGTTCCCAGGGTTCTACCTGGGAGTAGTTTTTTGTCTTCTCAGGGTCTACCACATATGTGGGTAACTCAATAAGTGTGCATCCTGTTCTTTCTAAAGTTACCAGCAGTTCAGACTCTCCACTAATTCAAGATTTTTTGTTCTGATCTCTGTTTTAAAAGAAATATAACTCTTTGATTTGCAATATACAAAATAGAATGTAGGAAGCTTTAAAAAATGATGTGTTCTCTTAATGGGGAACTGTCATCACATCATCTTTACTGTTGTAGTAGCTGCAAATAGTATTTGTTAAGCACTTACATCTAGGCAGTGTAGGCAGTGTTTCTGAGGATCATTCATCATATCATCACAGCAAGTCCGCGAAGTTTTACAGATGAAGAAACGGAAGCTCAGAGATGTAAGGCATCTGAAATAAAATCACACTGCTAGGATGTGACACTCCCGGGATTTAAAGCAGGTATGTCTGCTTAAAAGCCCATCCTACTAATCATTTTACCATGACATTATAAAGTAGGCATACTGAGAAAATTTTGTGAGGAAGATATTTCACAGCCTCAGAGCTGTCTGTAACTAGTAGAGATGTATATAGATAATAAGTGCCAGAAGTTATTTCACTGTTTTCCTTTGAACTGTTTGGCAATGCCCGCTTTAGGAATCATAAAAGAGAACATTGCACAGCATGGGGGAAGTAGGGACAGAAGTATTCTTGATTAAATAAAGACAAGATTGAAAGAAATAGGCTTCCTTCTTCCTTCCTAGGTTCCAGGCAATGAAAAAAAAGATTCTCTTCTCTTTCCAGAAAACTACCTATTTAAGGAGAGATAGAAAGGCCCAACCAAAGGTGTGTTAGAGCAGAAGGAACTGTCTCTCTGAAATAAGTATTCAGCCTCCTTCATTCATGCATCGGACTTAATGATATGATGACATTGCTGGTATATTTCCATTGGATGTGGTCGCCAACAGTTCGGCCAAAAAAGAACCATTTTTAGAACTGGGAGCTGGTGTAAGAATTTTCTATTTGTACGCTGGCTATCACAACCGTTCACATTCTCTAGTGTGTGAGAAGACTTGAGGTTGAATAGTAAAGCTGTTTGCAGGTGTAGTCTCTTGCCTTCGATGCGGGCTTACAAGTCTTAAAAACAACTTTTGAGGAAAGCTGTCCGTTTGATGTGGATGGCGGTGAGAGTTATTTATGTGTTGTGGAGCCAGCGTGATTCCCTGAGAGGAGAAAATTCCCAGCTAATGATCTAGCAGTTGAGCTTCGGTCAAAGTGAATTACAGTATAGCTTTCAAACCTGAGTAGTTACATTCAGAGCTATGGTCATACTCGTAGGGGAGGGTGCTGGTGTTTCTGTTTCTTTTTTTTAGTGGAAAGGGTGTGAGTGGGATCTGTACTTTCACTATTTCTAATCCCATGTGGCTGTGGCTTGGTCATCAATCTTTCTGGCCAAGAGACACCTTTGTTTACCCCTCAACTTGACTGAAACCACAAAGGTGGAGAGGAAAATGCCTATTCATTAATGTTAGACACTAATTCAAATAACTTACAGGCCCCAGCACAGCATTAAATAAACCTTCATATATAACATGAGTCAGACATGGTTCTGTCAAGCATGTTTTTAGATATGTGGTTGTTTTTTAGACATCAAGGCAGTGTGTAAAATATTTTTTTTCCAGATTTTATATATTTGAAATGGAAAGCAATATGCTTGCAGTTTTATACCAGCAATTTTGAATAGCTTTTATTTTAGTATCCAAATGATAGATTTTATTTTTCAATCCACTAAAACCATTTTCTTTGCTGAAAACATGAGAAGGCAGATAATCAGAAGGCAGATAATCTAGATAATTATAACCTAAGGATGCCTCCATCACTTTCTCCAGACAGATGGATAGATGATAGGCAGATGTATGTAAGTATAACTGTATGTATATATGCCTCTGTGTGTGTGTGTTTGCATGTGTATTTCCATTTGGAAAGTAAAATTTTTAAATTCCTTCAACTAAAAATAAAATAAAAATCATTTATACTACTATTTTCCTTTAGCGATAGGTAATTATCTGACTTTCTTACTTTAGCATCTCATAGATTCCGCTATATAGCAATTGAAATGACCTACTCTTCAAATCTATTCAAATAATGGCCAGTACAAATGTGTGGGCCTGTAGTGTTAACTGGATGTTAGTGGATGTACCTTGTGTGTCCACTTCTTCCCTTGCAGCATTCACTAGAGAAGCATATTCAGAAGAAATAACCTAATTTGTAGTGACTGATACTTACACCACTGAATGCTGTTGCGTTGCTACGCTATCATTGCATTTTTAAGTTAAGGCTGCTGGGAAAAGGAGCGATTTAAATGTATGAGATACAAATTTTACACTCTGTGATTATAGTTACTTAAATTAATCTCTGTAAACTTAACAGCACATGATTTTTTATTTATAATCTTAATTTATTTAGTAACTACATGGCCAGCACATGTTCTGTGCCCCACTTTCTTTGCTCTGCCCTGGGGATACAACTAGAGGAAGACCAAGCTGCTCTTATCCTCGTGGAACATTCAGGCCGGCACTGGCAGCGTTGCTGTGTGTACAGTAGTATCACTTCACCCTTAGTGTCGATGTTCTGTGTTGACTTTATAGGACGTTCATCTGATCATGCGCATGTACATATTACTTACAGAATAAACTGAAAATCAGTGTCTTGGTGATTATGAATTACGACGATGGGGCCCCCGAAGATCCTTTCCTTGTAAGAAGTTATTAAAAGGCCTCTTGGGGAAGCTGAAGTGCCTGAGCTTTTTTTGCTTCTTTACAGAGTCAGATCTGGAAGGCCTCGATGATCTAGGTACTGTTTACCGCAGCATTGACCGGCAGCTGAACGAAACAATTAGGCGTCGCAGACATGCGGGAGAAAACGACTACAACATCGAGGTGCTGCTGGGAGTGGATGACTCTGTGGTCCGTTTCCATGGCAAAGAGCATGTCCAAAACTACCTCCTCACCCTGATGAACATTGTGAGTAGTGACTCCTTTATGAGGTATTCTTTATCTTTTAATTCACTTCTGTTTTGTTAGTGTCTTCTGAAAACCTGGGCGAGCCCGTCCATGACGGTGCCCCACACCCAAAACGTTTACATTCTGCATTAAATGCAAACACTGATTCATGCGTTTAGCACACAAGGGTGCAAAAATAAAGGAAGCATGAAGCACACATTTCTTTTGGTGATCAACTAGTTTTCCGTTGTGATCAAGGGGAAGTCATAAATTTACAAAGTCATAATGCCATGGAACTATGACATGAGTTATGTGTTTCATTTTGTTCTGGGAGTAATCAGTACTCTCAGGACTAGTGTGCCTGCCCCGATGTGGACCGCAAAGGATTAAAAAGTTCTTTTAGCATCGTTTTGAATACTGAGATGATAAAGAATGTCTTAAGCCTGATAACTCTGTCTAGATGCTTGTTGGTAGAGCTTTTGAATGAGTGATATTTTTCAAGATTATAGGCTGAAGGCAATATATTTACAAAGCACAGTCAACTCTTGGCGCCGTGCTGCAGTGCAGTCATAAAGGGCTCTTTAAATTTGTTCTTTATTTCTTCTTTATGAGCCTTAATCATATCCAGAAGAAAGTCAACATCCTCAAACTGGTGGGCTTTTTTCCCTTGTGAATTGGCAGAAAATAATTGAGGAGATATAATATATAAATCACCTACTTCTAAAAGATCATTGAGCTAGTAGTGCAATCTATTTTATATGATTTATTTTTTAGAATTATGAAATAAATATATGTTATATTGATCTATCAAATATATTACCCAAGCCAACTGTTTCTCTCTTTTAGCTTTTGACTACAAATGTAATCTCTTTGGACATCTATGTTGTTTACCTTCTTTTTTCCATGCTTATGATTAAATTCCAAATAATGATACTGGAGAGAAAACTTGTTCAGAAAATCCAGGTTCTATTTAATTTAGAAAAACACTTAGTAAACAATATATATCAAGAGTAATGTTAAATAATTTTTGTCTTCTGCTATTTTAAAGTAGCCATGCTGATCGGCCACCTTTTGGCAAAAATGTATTTCAGATATTTCGGGACCATACTGCCTAATGATAGTGGGGACTGTACTTGAGAATGGGGTAAAGCTCTGTGGGTGAGGTGCATGCAAATCAAGAGTTTGGGACACAGGAAAGGCAGTTCACTAGGTTAGTGCTGTTCTCTCAGGTTCAAGGGTCGAGAGAATGTCTCCACAGGCCCCTAGAGATTTTGTATGACTCCTAAGAGGGGAGGGACACCCTCTACCCATCCCTCAGCTCCTTCGTGAATCAGTGAATATGCAAATAGTAACCTCTCTTGTATATTCTTTTATTTTTAATTCTTTTTTGTAGATTCTGAAATTTCTCCAGGCCTTACATATAAAGAAGAGATAGACACATATGAATATATTCTAAAAATAGCATGATTATTACTCATTCTTAGATTGCTCATTCTTGACAAACTTTTTATATTTAATAAATATTAAATAAGGGAAATGTGATATATGTTAAGCCTTGGTTGGGAATCTCATATCTTGTTATATTAAGAAATGTTTTGTTTTTCCCCTTTTTGACATGGCTGAACTGTGAGGAAAGTGGTTCTCAGCTACGGGGCACGTCTCATTCTACACATACTGATCCCTGCCGACTACGAGCAAGGCCTGTTTCGGCATAGGGCATGTCCCAATGTGCACAATAGAAAACTCTCTGCCTTCGTATAGCTTGGTAGAGGACACAGGTAATAGTCAAAAGAAGAAATAAATATGTAATTGTATGTAGTAATAATTGCCAAGAAGGAAAAAAAAATAAGAGTAAAGGGCTATTGTGCAGGAGAGAGGAGGTTAGGAAAAGCTTCAGTGAGATACTATGTGGGCAGAGAGAGAAATTCTATAAGGAAGAGAGTCAGGCAAAGGGCTGGGTAAGGAGTGATCCAGCCTGAAGGACCATAAACTGCAGAGGCTCTGAGTCAAGAAGGGCTACGGAATCAGGAGTGTTGTTTACGGAGCCCAATGGGTAATTTTGATGAATACCCTTAGTTAAAAAATCACCAGTGGAATAATAAAGGACAAGAACAGAGAGGAGAGAATGGGGGGAAATCTTTGAAAATAAAGAAATAGAAATGCAATTTCTTAGAGTGGAAAATATAAATACTTGGCCTATCCTGGACATTTCCCAACAATTTTTCTTTGTATCTTGATACTCACACTCTGTTGGCAGAAATGTGTTAGTGTGTCAGCTACTGTGAAGCTAACTTACTGAGCTCGGAGCATTCTAGGCAGGTAACGGTTTTTCCCCAGACTTTTTTTTTGAAGTTTTTTTTACTTGGTCATTACTACCTCATGGGCTTTAGGGTCCTTAGAGTGATTCTTTCCTTTGAGATATGTATTAGCTGCTACAGGGGAAAATATGGGCCTTGCTGAGAGGAAAAGCAATGAAATGTAAAGGGGAGGTGCCAGTTCTTACTCTCTTTTGATCTGTGATGGGAAAGATCAATGGCTCCTGGCAATATTATGAAAGTAAAAGGAGAAATACCCTGAGGAGTTTTCAAATAGTCTTGAGTTATAAGGATAAAGGTGGAGGGTCACTTAATGATCAGAACAAAAGAAAGTAGAATTTCAAAGGATTATTCCATCACATGATATTTTCAGCTTTGAAGTCTAATGTCCTATAATGCAAGTGGGATCCATGAAGTTCCTTCTCAAGAAACCGGTTAGTGTGATTTACTACAATAGAAGTCTTTGTTTTCTAATTGCCTTTTCAGCCATTTGCTCTCTTGGCCACAGGTAAGTCAGGTAAAAGTTACCACTGATATGCCTGACATTGGATCATACCTTAGAATTTAAGAAGAAACATTAGAGGTGATCCTCTATAACATTCTCCTTTCCAAAGACAGAGGGATTGAAGATTAATGTTAGGTGACTTACCTGCTGTCAGGTACTTAGTTAATGCAAAGCCAGACTGATTTTCTCTCTGATCCTCATTTTAACTCCACTTCACTGTAACATCTGTGTTAATTAATAGTCATCAGTACATTAGAGTGATTTGGAGGAAGAGGCTCTGTTACACGCCATGCTATGAACATAGACAACATAGTATTTATGTGCCAGAATTAGGGGATAGACCACATTCTGTCTGGCTCCAAACTCCTTGTGGTTTACACTACCCCTCCCTGCCTCAGCAAACTCTCTTAATTTCCCCAATGTGGATTGAACAGACCAAGTCACAGAGACAGGTTGGAGTAAGCACAAGTCAATTCAGCCACCCCTTCTATAAACATGCACCCCCTCCCTGGAAAATCCTGGGCCCGTCATTCTAGAAGAGAGTCCCCACATCACAGGTTACATTAACATCACACAGCATCCACAGTGTTGCTGCCTCAGAAAAAAAATTAAAAACCTCTTTGATTTTACTGAAGCATCTCAGTTTCCTCTTTGCCCTTTGATTCTGCAGCCCCAAATTCCTTTCCTGACATTCACCCATTTTTCCTTTTTTATGCTACAAATAATCAGACTGACCTTATGCTTCCCAGATTTATCCCACCCTTTATTTCTCCCTGGGTCCTAACACACAGACAAGCTTTTTAGCTTGCTGAGGAAATCATTTTTCTCATTCTTGAAAAAAGGGGATCAGTTCTACCTGAGCTTTAGGTATATCTCTACTGCTCCAAAGGCCCAAAGAGCTCGTAAGGCTTTGTAGCTGAATTGCCTATTCTTGATCCACCCAAAGCTCCTTGGATGCTTAAAGGAGGTAAAAGCATAATTAACTTGAAAGAACAGACTCATGTTTATTGAAAACAATCATCTAACCATTATAATGGGCCCAAACTACCTAAATGGAAACATTTGCGGAAGCTTTCACAGGTGATTGCTTCGGTGCAGCTGATTTGGGTGGGTGCTGAGCTGCTGGGTGTGAGGTGGACAGGAAGGGGTGGGTTTAAGAGACATCTGCCGGGCTTGGTAATACATGGCCCGCGATACCTGAAGGGAAGGAACAAGTCGGGGATGATTTAATCTTTAGGGAGAAGACCGGCACACTTTGAGATATTTTGGTGTATTTCCAAATGGATAGATGTTACTGGAGTTGAACAGATGGCTGCAGAGCACGAGAGGTGAATCAGTTAGATACGGAAACATTTGGAACCCATCAGCCTATAGGTGGTGGTTGAAGAAACAGCAGCGGGTGAAAGCTTGCAGGGAAGGTATGTGAGAAGATACGGGGTCAGAAACGACGAGACATGGCCCTGGCCAATTTGGCTCAGTGGTTGGAATGTCGGCCTGTGGACTGAAGGGTCCCGGGTTTGATTCGGCCAAGGACAGGTGCCTGGGTTGCAGGCTCGATCCCTGGCTCCAGGCGGGGCAACCAATCGATGTGTCTCTCTCACATCCATGTCTCTCTCCGTCCCCCTCCCTTCCACTCTCTCTGAAGAGCAAAGGAAAAAAATATCCTTGGGTGAGGATTTTAAAAACAATGAGACACTGACACGTGGGCCAGGCAGAAAACATAAGCTAATACTGCTAAAAAATAATAATAATAATAAATCCAGTAATACTACTGAAGAACATAGGGTAAACAGTATTAAATACTGCCAAATTGTAGGCAGGTTACTTTTGTATGATGAAGGAAAATTGAGAATATTAATAAAAGAGGAAAAGAAGCACCAAGAAAGGGAGAGATGGAATAAGGGACGTAGAGTTGAGATTTCGGAGCAAGTGTCTTTAGGGAAGCTGGAAGGAGCCTTAGCAGAAGGCAGAGACTTAGCACTTTCGCTGCGACAGAAAGAAAACTACAGTGAGGGAGTGGCCAAGAACAGGGACTGGCGTCGTAGACTTGCTGGAATTCGGGCTGTGCCCCTTGTTTGGGGGAACGCCAGGAACTTCCCTGCTCTTGGTCTCTTTCTGAAGTGGGATCGGGGTTTCTGTAGGGCTCCGGGCTTTCGCAGGTGGGCCGGGATGTGCGCTCGCTCCTCCCTCGGCCTCCCGGG